TACATCATTACGCTTATTTATTATACGCTTATTATTATAAAATTAGGCTATCCAAAAAAGGCAAGAATCATCATTATAGAATTTTATATATTAATATGAAAATCAGGGCTGGCTGCATAACTCAAATGAGCACTTGGCTAAACTGGCTAAACTATTTAGTCATATGTTAAGTCAAGTTTAGTCAAGTTTAGCCAAGATGATTGTTACTAAATTAGGTTTTTAACCCCTTTACACTGCCAGCCCTGATGAAAATCCGTTAAATCCATTAAATTGAGATAAATAATTATAGAAAAATTTGGTTTTGAAAATTTATCCGTTAAACCCTAAATCTGCTAAATTGAGGTCTGTTAAATCGAGACCCACTGTGCAATTAAATCATGTCCATTAATATTGTTGTAAAAATTACTGGTCATTGTGATGATATATAATCAATAAGATATTAAAACACACCTCTTGAAATATCCAAAAGTGATTGAATTTTATTCCACTAATCAATCTCTTTAAAATTTTTATATAAATTATTATGTAAATCTCCATTTTTAGCATAATCAAATACCAACATATAATCATTCTCATAACATTGATTAACGCAACCACTGAATTCACTATTTGTTTTTTGACTAAAAAAAATATATAAACATTTATCTACCTCTTAAATTCACATCTACACGGAACTTTGTTTAATTTACATTAATTAATATTAAATCTTTTTTAATTTACTCCTTTAAAATGTTATCATTCGAATTATATTACTTTTTTTAATACAACATCTATTTATCATAATAACAGATTACCAATCCAAGCTGTTGCTTTATGAGTGTCTATTTAATTTATCATATATTCATTGTTTATTATATCGTTTTTTTTGTTCTATTTTTTATTTTATTTTTTATTTTCTACTTCAGCTTTGATTCATCAAAATAATCATTTTATTTGACTTTTTCACAACTGGTACAATTTTTATCATTTCAAATAATTCATTTATGATCTAATAGTTTCAACATTAATATTTATCATTGTCTTTATGAGTCAATTCATTCAATGAGTTTAATAATTTATTTATTGATTCATCAAAAATTTTTTTTTGCATTCAACTAAAATATAGAAAAATCTATAATTATTTAAAGACAAAATCACTTTTTATTAAATTGTTGTTATTGAAAATAAAATATTGCTAATATTCATTAATTTTTTTTTGCCTTTTCAATATTTTGCTCTTTGAATGATCTCTATTCATCTTTCTTCTCATCCCAATTTTAAAAAAACCACAAAGTGAACATAAAATTATATATAAGTGTATATGAAAAGTAATAATAAGTATAATGGTTCTAATGAATATCAAAAAGCTGTTGATTTTTTAGAAAAGGTTGTGGTCGTGGCTGTTCTTCAAGAATTCCCAAGGAAGGATTTGCAGAATTAAGGGAATCCTTTCAAGCTCTCTCTAAAACAGAACAAGACATATTTTTAATGGCCCAACTTAAAGCAATGGATGGTGGATTAACAAGCACCAGTAGACCCCTTAAAAAGAAAACTAGATCTAATAAAAGAACTTTCTATCACTGGGATCACAATATACCTCTTTGTCAAGAAACTTATCTCAGTATGTTAGGAATTGGTAGGTCATATTTTGAAAATATCAGAAATCATCTGATAAACAATGGTCTTTTACCAAGAATTCATGGTAATATTAAAAGAATGCCTCAATGGAAAACTAAGATGATGATTGATAAAAATATTGCTGAAGTATATAGTAAAGAATTTTCTGGAAAATTATGCAGAAGTCCATGGATTACCAAGTCCAGGAAGAAGTACCAATAGAATAACTCAATCAATTGTATTTTACCAGCTGAAATGAGTTATAAATCAGTTCACAGGGATTTTCTAACTGGTCTAGAAGAAGATAGCAAATTGAAATCCTTAAAATATGATGCATTCAGAAAATTATGACATCAATTGACACCAGAAATTCAAATTATGAGTCCCAGAACTGATTTGTGTGATACTTGTCAACATTTTAGAGATGATTTACATTATAATGCTCATCAAGAGGAAGAATTACTCAAAAGATTTAAAGAACATCTGTCCAAGGCCAAAGTATAAAGAAATTATTATAATAAAAATACAAAATTGGCAGAAGAACAAAGAAAATTAGTTAATCAGAATTATTCAAAGGGTAAATCACAATATTGTAGTATTGATGCTACTTCTCATTATAGTTATGATTGAGCCCAAAATGTTCATGTGCCACATTTAGATCAACAAGTAAGCAAAATCTATTACCTTAGTCCATGTAAAGTTCATTTATTTGGTATTCAAGATGAAGCAGTAAGGGAACAAATTAATTATGTTCTTAATGAAGATGAAATTATAGGAAAAGGTCCTAATGGTACACTTAGCATGATTTTTGATGGAATTAAGAAATTGAATAGAGGTGAAAAGCATTTAAAGATTACTTGTGATAATGCTGGTGGACAAAATAAAAATAATGTAACAATTTGGTTTTATTTATATTTGATAATTTGTGGTTATTACAAAAGCATTGAATTAAATTTCATGGTTCTTGGACATACCAAATTCAAATGTGATGGTAGTTTTGGTTTAATAAAAAAACTCTACAGAAAAACAAGAGTAGATTGTCTGGATCATGTGGTTGATGTAGTAAAAAGATCTAGTCCAGCAGGATTAAATAAAGCTCAATGTTATGAAGGTGGAAAAGGTTTTCAATTCTTAGATATTAAAGCTATTTTGGGAATTTATTTTAAGAAATTACCAAGCATCCAGAAATATCAACATTTTCTTTTTGAAGCATCTAATTTTGGTATAGTGAAAGTTCAAGAAGTTGCTAATGGACCTTTTGTTGAGTTCAATTTATTGAAAACCAAGAAAACAGATATCTTTGAAGAAATTAGAGCTTTATCTATTTTAGTGTTAACACCACCTCCTTTGGATTACAAAAGGCAAGAATATCTTTACCAGAATATTCGCCCATTTGTAAGGGATGAATTCAAAAATATTACTTGCCCAAGACCAATCTATACCAGAAATGAATAAAATATTTAGAATAAAATCACCTCCATTATTAGTTAATTTGTCCTTTACTGTCAATCATCATGATCTTAAAATTTTCATCAGGATATAATTTAACTATTTTCATTATGTATGCAAATCCATGCATAATATCATATAGTTTAGCTGTATATTTTTGTAATTGATTTAATATTGCACTTATTGGATGTAATAAAATAGTCAATTGTTCTAAATTTCGCCACCAACCTTCACTTTCAATGATGTTGACCATTTCTTCAGATAAATTCCTTGCTTCATGATCATCAGATAAACTATTTTTATTAACAAGTGTCTTAAAAAAAAAATATATATATATATATATATACATATATTAATAACATATCAAAAAAAAAAAAGCCATATTTAAAAATACATTTAGTTATACCTTCAATGGTATTTTGGATCTAACAAGACTTTTAAAACAATAATAGTGACTACACCACCTTGTATCATTTGGTTGAACTAATGCCCAATATTTTTGATAACATATCTTCTGTTCATCTCAAAGCTTTGAATAAAAATATGTTGATCTATTGAAAAATGAAACAATTTTTACAGCTAATGTTGATGTTTCTTTAAAAGCATTTGAGGATTTAAACACATCTCCCATAATCAAGTTCAATTGATGGGCAAAACAAGGAAGAAATGTTATTTCTCGATATTTTTTTCTAAGTCTTTTTCTATTTAATAATATTGAAAATTTTTTAATCATAAAATTTTAGTAAAATAAAAAAAATAAAATTTACCACAAACCTTGCTGCAACATTCTCTGATGCTGAATCTGTTACCAAGCTCAGGATCTTAATTTCTTGGGTTCTTAATTCTTCAAATAAATCAGTTGCATATTTATAAACAACATTCCAGTTCTGAAGGTCACCACTTATGTCTTTAACATCCCAAATAAGATTTTTTCCACATGAATTAATTAACACAACACCTAATAATTTCTGATGAACAACGTTTTTCCAACCATCAAATGTTAAAGTTATGCCAAGCTTATCACTCTTTGCTGATTTATATAAATCATCCTTAATTTCTTTGCTTTTTTCAGATAAAATTTTACCACTCAATTGTTTTCTTGATGGCAATTTAAGAGTTGAATTTGCAATACAAAATGCTTCTTTTATATTTGTATCTTCCACCCATCTGAAAGCCCATCCATTTGAAATTGTTGCGTTAAAAATAGATTTTATAAATTTTTCTTGTTTATTTTTTACTGTTGCTTTATTTATATAATTAGTAAGTTTTCCAGAATTAACCTTTTTTATTTGTTTTATGTTTGAATTGTTATCATCTGCATCTACAAAAATCATAATTAACATTAAATCTAAATTAAAATTAACTTTATAAAAATATAAAATTTCATTTACCATCTTGAATTAAAACAATTTCTTCTTCATTCAATAATGCAACAGGATTAGAAGTAGATGACTTATCAAGGTTGATTATTTGTTGGTATTCAGCTTCACCAATTTCTTCTTTAAAATGTTTGCAATGTTTTAAATGATTTAGACATGTTTCTTTTTTATTAGTAAAATAAAGGTCTTCAATAGGTTTATTAGGATTTGCTTTAATACAAGATCTACAGGCAGCCCCTTTATGTGTAGAATTCACTTTTTCTATCGAAAGTCTAAACCAAGGTGTAAATAAATGCTGCTTCTTTCCCATATTTAATATATGTTAAAGTTGTGGGAAAAACAATTGTAAATAACTTGGATCGGTTATTTAACTCACAGATCGGTTATTTAACTCACAAATCAAGTTATTTAACTGATTTTTATTGTTAAATAACTGATCTGCAAGTTAAATAAATCATTTAGTTATTTAACTAATTAACTGGTTATTTAACCAATTATTGGTTCAAATGTTCAAATGTTTCAAAAAAAGATTTGAACTGGTTAAATTGCCAACACTGATCTTGAGTGATATATATAACTATCCCTACATAAAAATAGTTAATATGAAATTAATTTATATTAGATCTACTATGGAACCCAAGAATTATAGTACCATTAGAAGTATTTTAAAAAAAGAACAAGGTGAAAAAATTGCTCCTTACATCTTCAAAAT